CAGCTTAGAAACGCAACTCAGTAACACAGAAACAATTTGGAAAAGTTGGAGAACGATAATCCTGAAACTATCGGAGCATCGTATCGTCTCAGCCGGTCCTTCCTCTGCGCCTTGCAAAATTATTCACCTGTTCGTGTCAGCTGCAACAAATAAAATTTAAAAAATGGAATTTCAACTGCGCACCAGTGCTTGCTAGGTTATATTAAAACCCATTTGATGTCAGCAACATCATCTGAACAACACGCCCTTTAAAAGGTGACATAAACCTTTTTTCCCCCCCCATGTGGATTCTCTCTCCGTCTATCTCACCAGTCAAAACGAACACAAATGACACACACGAAGCTGTGGCCTGATTTCTTCTTTCATATAAAAGTATTACATAGTGCTTCAAAATCTGATACTTTAACTCTTTCAGTCAGTCTGAAAACAGCCATTGAACTGAAAAATAAAATAATTAAAAATAAAGATGATTTCACATTTTTGAATGACGCTAGTTTTCTTGGATGAGAGGATGGACATCATGTCTTGCCTGTTTTGTAAATACATGACTAATGCTGAGAAAAACAGGTAAACTTGGCTCTGTTAGAAGGGAGCAAAGTCTGTCTATAAGGTCCTTTGAAACTTAGGTAACAATAGAGAAGGAAGCTGATTGTCACTGCAGTGTTTTTATTTATTTTACACATCTGCAGAACATGCATTTTCTTACTAAGCAATTATATGGTTCCCCCACATCCCAGAGGTGCTCTGTTTGACAAGGCGCTTGCTTGAAGTAGGACTCAATAGATTTTTTTTTCAACCAATTCCTGTAAAATGTAGAGATGTTTGTGTGTGAACCAGTAAATCACAAGTTTCTGGTTATTGTTGTCAGCCCATCTGACCACAACAAAAACCACGTGTACATGCCTAAATGCATTGAGTTGCTGATTAGATATCTGCATTAATGACCAGCTGAACAATGTGTAAATAAATATGCTGCACTTTATGTTTCATTTAGTATGCAGGGTGTATCAAAACGAATCATCCAATTTCAAAAAGCTAGATTTTTTAAAGTAATAGACATAAAAACTTACGGGACATTTTAAAATACATGGCTGAAGATAAACTTTTACATACACAACTCACAATGTTCAAAAGTTAAATGTGTCCTTCTCTGGTCGCATGTCCATATCATAGTCAAACTCATCTCACACATTATTGTGAGCATGTCTGGAGTCACTGCAACCACGTGAAACTCGTGAATCCGTTCTTTCTTATAATACGTGTTCTGATCTTTACCAGTGAACGATACTGTGAAATCAGATGATTCCTTTTGATAGACTCTGTATTAGCGGCTTGTATTCCTGCTTCAATGCCAAGGTCTCTCTTCCTGAGTAGAGTATGGTGTCAATGAGCCTTCATGGTAAAATAAAGGTTTAAAAAGCCCGTGTTCGACTGGACAATAACTTTAAACGAGATGTAACACGTTAATTTTTACCTGGTTCTTGCAATGCTGAATCCCTGATTCCTTTTTAGGAAATATCTTACTAATCACTTAATAGTTAAAACATGCCTCACGTGCCTTTACATGCTGCTCACCTGGTTGTTGAGTTTGACGTCTATTAACTACTTGAGCAAAATAATTATCCTGTTTTTCAAAATGTCCTTTTATAATTTTCTTGGAGTCTAACAACAGCTTACATCCTCCAAGCTCCGCATCACACAGCTTGATGGTTTACCTCAGCATTTGTGCATTGAGCAGTTACCTGGTGTGAGTCACAATGTCGGTGAGTGCCCCTCCCTCCAGGAACTCCATGACGACCCAAAGCTCGTCTCCCACCAGGTAACTGTTGTACATGTCCACAACATTTTCATGATGGTAGTCCCTCATGATCACCACCTAAAACACAGACAGAGAAATATATATGTATGTATCGTTACTAATGACACTGTAGTACTGTTATTATGCTGCTATACTTTGTTACTACACTGTTAATATGAAATAAAAATCATGCTTTGAGCCTCAAAAAGGTTTCTCTCTGAAATTCCTCAATTCAATACCATATTTAAGAATATATGCTAAAATGTGCTACAAAAAATGATCTGCAATTCCAGTCGTTTATTGAATCTATTCATGTAATTTCATTTTTTTTTCATATTAATTCAACTTCTCCTTTGTCTAATATGAACATGTTCTGGAGGCTTAATCATAAAAGGATTACATTCAAATTAATAGGATTACACGAAACAAATTACTTTCCCGCTGAACACCCGCTGCTCCACACCTCGCACTCGTGCTTACATACATGCATTCTCTCTCCCACTCATGCACGCTAAACAGAGACCAAAATACAAAAGAATCAGGGCAGAAATGCAATCCGAGCGTCGCTCAGTTCACATTTAAATACATTAGTCTTTTTTTTTCCCGGGCAAATGAAATGCAGCTCATTTTTTAGCTTGTCGGGACATCGTGAACGTGAGCAGTCACGAATACATTTCTTGCTTAAGGTTTTCGGCGTAAACACGTCTTCAGTTTAGTCAAAAAATGTCATTACAGATGCAAAAAAAAAATGTGTTAGTGGTTTAATTGCTGTGGATGGATGTTAGGGAAATAAGGGCAAACTGAACTCTTGCTGTTTGTTTCATTAATTAGCATAAAGTGGCATTTTTATTATGCTAATTAAAACAGTTTCACGACTGCCGCTTGCTTAGGCTATCAACAATCTGTGACAAATGTTAGTTCTGTGGTCATTATGGCCCCGATCTAAATCCATCTGATTAATTCACTCAAACATACGACATCAGAGCGATTTGGATTATAATATGAGCTGAGGACAGTTTCTCAGGTAATCGTTTGATACCTCGTTAAAAAGCAGCTCTCTTCTCTGCTGTTTTCTGAGGTCCATCTTCTTCACCGCCACCTGCTTTCCGCTGTGCTTCTCGGTGGCGATGCAAACAATACCTGTGGATCCCTCGCCGATCTTAATAAAGCTGTCCAGGTATTCCCGAGGGTCGCCTGGAGGAGAACACAAACATCGTGCCTCATTTTTATGCAACATCAGACACAAAGACAGATATAAATTTAAAAAAAAAACATCTAGAAGTTGCAGTTGCAGTTGCTGCCTCTGCTAAATACTCAAGCTGCAGTTTATTTAATCACGCTCTTACAGACTCTAAATACTGCTATATGAAACTCTATGTTAGACAGGAAACACTTGGATGTAGAAAAAGTTGCATGAATGTATGTGTATTTGGGTAAAGTGTCCATTCCGTCCATTTATCAAGTTGTCACATGCTTGCGTGTCATTTCAATGTTCCTTTAATTTCAAGTGTGCGTTACCAGGGTTGACCACCAGCTGAAGTGCTGCTCTGAACTGCTCATGAGAAACTCTGGAGGGCTGCGTGTCAGAGCTCGACCCCCAGGAAGGAGGCGGATAAGCCCCTGGGGGGACGTAAGGTGACGAAGGCTGTGAGTAGGCCCCCTGGATGAAAAAGTTATAAAAAAAAGACAGAAATAACATCGCTTATATAGCTAATGATTTTATTTTCTAAAGAATCAATTTGGGAAAGAGCTACTTTAGTTAGAGATTTAAGATGGTTACGGTTAAACACCTGGAGGAAGTGTTGATCTCAGCTAACTTACCAAAGTCACAGAGTATAATCTGAATCATCACTGTGATGCCGTTTTTATATGTGAAGTTAGCAAACATACTGTACCTGCGGGGTATATGGTGGACTGGGCTGGGAGGGAGGATGATGGTAAGGAGAGGGTTTGTAATGGTGAAAGATCGGGGGGTACGGCAGGTGCACCGAGGGGTAGCCAGGCGGCTTCGTGTGGCTCTGAGGTAGCTTAAGAGGCCCTCGGGGGTACGTGTCACCACCTGCGACCTGGGGACTGTCATCGCGTGATGGACGCTCATAGTCGCCCTGGAAAAGCGAGGAAAATTACGTATAAGTCTGGTGTTACGCATTTTACTGCAGCGAATACTGAAGAATTTTACTGTTAAACGTCAGCCTGTACATCCACGGTCGTACACTACACCTGCAGGTACATTACTCCCGGACAGACCTAACGGAGAACATTTAGTGCACAGGACAGCGACCATACCTTATCCTTACCACCCCACCCCCCTCTAAAATGCTTCACAGCTACTCCAGTCATCAACCAAGAGCCTGCAGTGGACTCATATCTGGGACACAGCTCTTCCTTAAGATTGTCCTTCAAAGTAGTATCGCAGCGTACACATGGGTATTAGCGAGAATGCAGTAGTGCTTACATGACTCAGCTTTCATTACATGACTCACAATTGGCTACAAATACGCACACTTGGAGTGGTTTCGTAACCTAATAGCTTCGTCATCGCATTATGTCACATGGATTTGTCTGTCATTTTAAGGAAAACTGGCCACAGGTCATTAACAATAGGACGTAAGTAGAGACAGGCTGATACTGTACAGCTGTCAGTGGCATATCTAAGTGACAAAAGTCTGTCATGTAAACACTAGGAGAGGGATTAAAGTGCTACAGCAAACATCAACACTACCCAGAGTGATCTAAAGTGGATTACAAAGAAAAAACAAAAATTAACTTAGAAGATGAATCTGCTTTCACCCTGCAGAGACTAAACTAAATCACCTTTGCCACACCTCTCTAAAATGATCTCCAGCCGGCCTGATTTTTCCCCTCAAGAGACTCCGGCTATAATAAATAAAACTCTCTTTCCTCCTTTCTTTTATTTGTCACTCTCTCTGCGCCTAATCGCTATTTCTCTTTCTTTCACAAAGAGACACACACATACACAGACTGAAACGCACAAGCACAGACAGGGTAGGAGGAGGAGCCCTGATGTGTTGGGATGGTGTATAATTACATGGTGTGAACTCTTTTAATCAATCACTCTGAGGCAGGTGCGGGGGTGGCTGCTGGGAGGCCCCCGTCTCGTGCCCCTCTATCGTTGGCCAGCAAGCGCTCGCTGGCTGTCAGCCAGGGGTCTCCTGATCCATGTTGGTTAAACGCGCATTAATCTGAGTTTGGCAGGGTAATCAACAACCTAACTCAACTGTGAAATTGAATTCCGCGGTGGAACATCGTTCGGCCAGTTTTATGCTAAGGCTGCAGAAAGGGAAAGTGCCGCAACATCAATTTGTCACCGAGAGCTGCGGCACTGAGCTCACACTCGCTACAAAACAGTGAGGAAGAGAGAGAGAGAGAGACGGCGGCAGAGAGAAAGGAAGTGTGTGTGCGTTTGCATCTTTGTGTGTGGCCAAGTTTCTGTGCTGTCTACTATTACATCCCCAACGTCTTCCGACAACGGCAGGGAAAAAGAAGGATTTACTTCAGCGGTGTGAGTGGGCTGAAGCAGGGAAAGAGAAGAAAAGGCAGAGAGTGAGCAAAGAGAGAGGGAGGTGGGTTTGTTCCAAGGTCCGTGAGCCAAGAAGAATAGTGATTCTTCAGCTGCCAGATGACTCCTTGTTTTGTTGTTTCCGTTTTTTAAACCACTGCTGTGAAAATCAAACAAGAAATATTAAAAACACCATCACATTAAGTCCAATTATAGTCACGCCTTTGAGATATGAAAGAGTAAGTTTGTAAATGCTCAAACATATCCTTTCATGTATAATTTGGCTAAATTGGCTTTCGACTCTTTACTCATTCTACTTTTATTAAAATAGAAAAGCAAGCGCGCCTCTTTAAGCGTGACAACTCAAACAGCAGCAGAAATGTGAAACAAACTACGTGAAAGAAAAATGACCTTCTCCTGCATCGCATTCCTGCTGCTCTTGCATTCTCCGTGGCTGCTTTTTCTTCGAGTGGCTATTTACCGAGACACGCGGGTTAAATGGTTTTTCATCAAGGCACCCTGGGATCTACATCAGCAAACCCGGTTTCCCCTCTCGGCTCGCTGTGTGTGAAGGGAGGCATGGTGCAGAACTGTGATAGCGGCACTCGCGGGTTTAATGACGCTCGGAGAGCTTTGGAAGAATGATGTAAAAAGTGTTGTGTGAAAAGTCTGACCCCACCTTTTGCCCTCTGCTATAATTCCTGATCTATTATCTTCCACCGCAGCACATGCAGTTCTTTGCACTGAGAATTCTGGTGTAAAAGAACTACGAGTAACCGAAAACATATGGTTACATTACACAGCCACTAACGCGTGGACGGTTCGTTTGTTCTTGTCAGTGGAGTTTCTGTGCAGAGGAATCTCTTGGGTGTCTCTCCCACTGCTCCACTGGAGCACGACA